GTCTTGATATCATTACAATGTCTGATAAGTCTGAAAGAAATGATGATATTTTTGTTTTGGTTTTAAATAATAGGGTAGATATCACAACTTTTTGGTCACCCTGTATTTCTGCGATTCTAAACAATTGCGGTATTTTTCAGCTTGGTGTTTAACGTCTCCCTTCCTAAGTCTCCTTTGGAACATAGAAACAGGTGTAGGCTACTCAGCCTCTCAAACCTGTTCTGCCATTTTATAAGATCATGGCTTATCTGTTCCTCAACTCCAATTACCCGCCCTTGTCCCGTATCCCTTGATCCCCTGACCTAACAAACATCTATCCACTTCAGTCTTAAATCTGAATGGATCCAGCATCCACATCCTTTTTGGGGGAGAGAGTCCAGATTTCCTCTACCCTTTGGGTGAAAAACTGCCTCTTAATTTCACTCCTAATTGCCTAGCTGTAATTTTAAGATAAGGCCCCCTGTTCTGCTGTGGGCTGATTGCGTGACAAGCACCTTGTTACCAGGGCTCCACCACTGCTGCTCCACAACCAGCTGGTTGGTTCATGGGAGCGACTGTAAGCCACACTTCCTCCCATTTTAGCTCCAATTTGGGGAAGCAGCTGAGATCTGCTGAGCACCCTTCCCAAGCCCAACAGCAAGACTCGCATCACTGCTCTGTCCAGGTAGGATCAAGCCCTGAAACCAAATCCTGAGAGTGCAAGGATTGCACTAGATAGAGTTCACCATCCCTTTTCTGGGTTGTATATTTGTATCTCAAGTTTTCGCAAACCGCACAGCTTTTTTCCGTTTGAACAGATGAAGCGATTATCAGACTGTCTCGTCTCCCCAGCCATGGTGCAGGAGAGCTTGTCTGCTATCAAACAGCTGCACACCAAACACCACGTCCAACTTCTCTACATAAATCCCTCAGAAGCTTTACGAAGGAAATCTCAAACTGCAAAATGTAGATCACCCAAATGTTAGCAACCCACTGTTATTATCACAGAAATTCTAAACAACTTTACTCCAACCATTTGCTTCATTTGATAGTCGTTTTTTTCATAAGCTTAATTGCATTAAAACCAATACTACACTGATAAGATCACAGGAAGCTGAGGCAGTTGACAAGGCAGTTTTTATATTTACATTCTTTGCTACTGTCTGCTATTCATTAAAATTTGCTGCTTCATATTAAGACTATTGTTATAATAAATAATAATAATAATCCTTGCATTTGAAATAGCGCTTTTTACGTCTTCTAGACGTCTCAAAGCGCTTCACAGAATAGACTGTAAAGTGAATTGACTGTATATTTGTGGGCGAAATGTGGCAGCCAATTGCAAACAGCAGTGTCCCACAAACAGTCGTGGATTGAAGTGACCAAATTATTATTGGTTTTTTTCTTGAGGGATTATTATCAGGTGTGTAGAATAAGGAAACTTGCCCAAGATTTTGCCCTGCCAGGAATTGAACCCAGGTCTCATGCTTGTAAAGTGAGTGCTCTAACCACTAAGCTACAGGACTCCACAATTATTATTAAGACCATGTCCCCTTTTGTCAAGGTCATCCAGATATCACAGAAACCCAAAACAGTATTTAAAAATCGGACTGTTTTTCTCAAATTAGAATAGACATCACTGAAAAGCATTGATCTGTATGGGACTGATCCCTTTGACAAACAAACACTCCTGCTGGTTTCAGCACTGCACATTGGCGTTCAAATGGCATCCAAAGTAAGCAAAGGCAGCAATTTTTAAACCTGCTGAGAAGACAATTTCAGTAGCTTCATGTGCCAAAAACGAGCTATGTAAATAGATTCATGTCTCGCCTCCCTCTCCAAGACACATCTGGGGGGTGTGTGTGCTCACAGGGTTCTGAAAATTCTCATCTTAGCGGCCATTGCAATCTTCCATTTAATGTTTGATGGACAGATCCATTTCAGCAGTGTGCCTACTCAAACTTGCGAGTGAGTGTGTGCATGTCTGTGTTTGTAATTGAGAAAGACAACAGCTGAAATCTCACATTTAAATGGATACTAACCAAGTGTTAGATCATTCTCACAAAATAAATAAGTCTTTTTAGAATCACCATTAGATAGAGAATTCTAAAACAAGTCCAGTCAGATTCCCATGTTTGAATCATAGAATATTACAGGTCAGAAATTGGCCATTCAGCCCATCATGCCTGTGCCGGTTCTTTGGAAGACTACGCAATCAGACCCACTCCCCGGCTTTTTCCCCATATCCTTGCAAATTTTTCCTATCCAATTCCCTTTGGAAAGTTGTTATTGAATCTGTTTCCACCCTTTCAGGCCGTGCATTCCAGACCGTAACAACTCTCTGTGTAAAAACATTCTCCTCATCTCCCCCCTGGTCTTTTGCCAATTATCTTGAATCTATGTTCCAGTTTCAGTCCCAGTTTCTCCCTATCTACTCTATCAAAACCCCTCATAATTTTGAACACCTCTCTTAAAACTCCCTGTAATTTCTCTGCGTTAAGGAGAACAATCCCAGCTTTTCTAGTCGCTCCACATAACTAAAGTCCCTCATCCCTGGTACCATTCTGGTAAATCTCCTCTGCACCCTCTCCAAGGTTCAGTTAGCAATATCAGATCCAATTGACTGAAAAAGTTGGTGATTTTCCTGGAAGCACTTTATTTTGTTCATCCTCGAACCCTAGATATTTACAGCACAGAAGAAGGCTATTGAGCCCATCATGTCAGCGCTGGCTTTGTAAGAGCAATCCATCTCCCTCCCTTTCCACATCCTTTTGCAAATGACTCCTTTTTTATGACACCTAACTCTTGAAAGTTAATATGGATTCTGTCTCGACCACAGCACTCGGCAGCACATTCTACAACGTGTAAAAAAAACATCCTAATTTCCCCTTTTACTAATTATTTTAAATTGATGCCCTCATCACTGACTCACCATTCTAAGAACAAATTAGATAGATTTCTGCTAGAAAATAATATCTGGGGATACAGTATATAGTTTGGGACACAACATGTCAAACGACTGCCAGGATGGTGGAAGGCAAACTACATGGACCGTGGTCTTCTTTCGACGAGCAAATTCTTATGTTCTTAATGAGATTATTGTTTCCCTACCTACTCTATCAAATCCCCACATCATTTTAATGTTCCCTACTCAAGTGAAAACATGCCCAGTTCCTCCAGTCTCTGCTCATAAGTCAAACTGGTATCGTCCCCATAACTTTCCTCTGCACCCTTTCTACAGCCCTAATGCCTTTCCTGAAGTGGGGTGACCAAAACTGACACAAAACTCATTACACCCTCACTTATGATTTATAGAAGTTATAAGTGTCATCTCTTTGGTTTTATACTAGTGCTAAGCCAGTGCTGTTGAGGGCCAGTGCTGCTGAACTAAGAGCAGAGAGAGGTGTTCTGCCAGTGGAGAGAATAAACAGAAAATAATTGGACATACTTTATGTTTTTAATGGAATGTGGTATGAGAACACAATACTAAACTAATTTGATGATTCTTTGGTGTCTAGCTGGAATGTCAACTATCCTTTGGGGATAGTTCTTGATTAAACATTGGGTTCAATTGATTATTTGCCAGTGTGAGCGAAGATTCAGAAGTGTAATGGAAGCAATGCACAACGGTGTTTAAGTGCCACCCACAGTTTGAAACCACAGCAGCAGCAAGCCACATACAAGTCTCACTTGAGGGCAGCTGCTCATGTAAAACCCCTCTCCACAGGAAATAGTTCAAACACCAAACAGTTGTCTTTGCATGACAAGCAGAAAACATCGAAACCTTAACACAACATTTAACAGCTTCATAGATGTTACAAAATGATCAGATCAGCATTTATATAACTCACACATGTACCAATTTCTTAGCCAGGCAGGACTAAGTTATTACTTATGCAATAAGCTTGCTTCTAGGGCAGCAACACAAACAGCTGAATATTGACATTGTCTACATACTCTCTACAGTGGAAATAAACTGGGGGAGGGAAGAGAAAAAGACAATGCTACTCCAAACTACAAAGTAAGTATCTGCTGCATTTCCTCTGGACCATTTACAAGGAGCTTGCTGCAGTTTGACAGCATGTACAAATGTCAAACTGTGCTGTGCTGAGCACAGAGCCAGGACAATGCCACTTTGCAACCAAGCTGTTTTTAAACTTCTCTACAAACTAACGCAGCTAGAATGAAAAGATTTGAACCACAACAAAGGAATGGTTTGCAGCAGTCTTCCCAGATTTTGGATGACAGTCCAGCTTAATAGCATGAGGGTAGGGATTCTTGTTACTTAGCTCCTTTTATTCTTGCAAGCCAAAGCCCCTATGGGTATGGTAGTCCCAGCTGTACAATCTAGGATAGGGTAGGCCACTGGCAGGTAGGTCAGTAACCAGATGACATAGATTTAAGATAATTAGCAAAAGTACCAGAGGGGAGATTAGGAGAATATTTTTTACAAAGAAAGTTGTTTCAGTCTGGAATGCACAGCCTGAAAGGGTGGAAACAGATTCAATAACAACTTTCAAAAGGGAATTGGATAGGAACTTGAAAAGGAGAAAATTGCAGGGGTTTGGGGAAAGAGCGGGGGAGTGGGGCTGATTGGGTGGCTCTTACAAAGAGCTGGCACAGGCACGATAGCCGAATGGCCTCCTTATGTGCTGTAATATTCTATGATTATATGCAGCTGAAAGCTTACCAGTCAGTGTTCAAAACTGTTTCAGCTGGTTAAAGTCCAACGCACACTCTAGGATCTCGAAGCCTTGTCCACCTGCACCTAATACTTACTGGGATTTGGTAAACTGGGTGCATACCCTGGGCAAAGAATGCATACTTGATGCCAAACAAACAGAATTTCCTTCCCCTGAAGCGTGATGATGGGTTTCCACATCAGACACCCGCTGAGCAAATATAACTCCTAAATCAGGCTAGCTTCTGGATGTCCAAGCTCCTCGGAAATGCATTGATAACATAGGAGCAGGAACACTGTTGTTACCTCTCTACCAATTAGTTCTGGTCGGGTCAGTTACCTGCTTCTGTGCTGAAGTAGCCATTTGCAGCTGGCAGAACTTCATGGCTTGCTCCAAAGCTACATCCTCATCAACCTGCCAAAAAGAAAATACATGGTCACCACAATCCACAAAACATTACAAGTCCCAACACTAGGAAGAGACAAAACAAATCAACATTTTTTCTTGTTGACTTGCCTTGCAGCGTGACTGTGCCTCCTGGTGTTTGTCTGTACTGTTACACAATAATAACAACAATTCCTGCATTTGGTATAGCCTCTTTCATGTCGGGAGGAGTACGAAAGTGCTTCACAAGATATACTGTATAGTGGTGTGACTGTGTGTTTTGTGGACGAACACAGCAACCAATTTGGACACTGTAATGCCACACAAACAGCCATGAAGTGAATGACCAATTGTATTTGTACTATAATTATATACTATATATATGTTACGAGATCAGAATACTTGAGCTGGATTTTTATGTAAACATAGTGCACAGTAATTAAGGATTTGTGCGACAGTAAGCAGGAACACTTTTCAATTGCTGGGAACCAAACATTTAGAAATAGTGAAATTTTGCCCAAAGAATGAGACTAATTTGTCCTTTTAATTTATCCTCTAATAGCTTACAAAAATAGCTCACTGAAATCGTTGTCTCTAGGAATTTTTATTAAATTGAAATTGTTGAAGTGTTGAATCGAGAACTTGCTGAGCCTTTTACTTTCTAGGAGAGGAAGAGAAATTCCAACACCCGACTACAAGCGAAATGTAGATCAACATGGTATTCTAGAGCAGTGCTGACAGCAACTATAGAAACCAAACACAACACAAAGACTAATTATAAGCTGTAGGCAATATTAGAGGCATCAAAAGGGGAAAGAGAACTTTTCTTTTCAACTCATGATAAATCTAAAACTTTATGGCATATATTCTCCCCTGCCAGAATGAAGAGAAGCACCATTGTCTTTCTTCGTGAATTGCCTGCCAAGCACAGGAAACGTAAGGAAGGCAAAAACATTTACCCAATATACTGTATTGGAGGATAAATTCACTTTATAAGCAAGTTTAAGGGTGGGGGAGGATAATAAAGAGAGAGACAACATATTTATATTGCACCTTTCACAAATAAGCCTCTGACAGCATATTACTAATCTAATGTATTTATTGCTCAAGTACACCAGGTTGTTCCCAGCAAAGATTAATTTCAAACTGGGTGAATGAAATGCCAAGACTGTGATTTTTATCTACAGCATGAGCTGACAAAGCATTCCATCACCAAAGCAGTTTATTTTAAACATTTCACATAATGCACAGTAGAAGCATTTTACTAAAAGTGCACGAGAAGCAAATGTTTCAAAGAGTAACTTAAAGCTATCCCCTCCCCTCCTACCACAAAATTCAAATCAGGCCATAGGCATAGAATAAAATCATAGAATATTACAGCACAGAAGGAGGCCATTCGGCCCATCGTGCTGGTGCTGGCTCTTTGAAAGGGCTACACAATCAGTCCCACTTCGCCGCTCTTTCCACATATCCTTGCAAATTTTTTCTCTTCAAGTACCTCTTTGATTTCCTTTTGAAAGTTGTTATTGAATCGGTTTCCCCACCCTTTCAGGCCGTGCGTTCCAGACCGTAATGTATGAACATAAGAACATAAGAATTAGGAGCAGGAGTAGGCCATTCGGCCCTCGAGTCTGCCCCACCATTTGATAAGATCATGGCTGATCTTCAGACCTAACTCTAATTACCTGCCCTATCCCCATATCCCCATATCCCCCAATCCCTCTATTTTTTAAAAAATCTATCAGTCTCAGCCTTGAAAATGACATTGAATTGACACTCAAGGACTGAGCATCTAACAACTCTCTGTGTAACAAAATTTCTCCTCATCTCCCCTCTGGTTCTTTTACCAATTACCTTAAATCTACGTCCCCTGGTTACCGACCCTCCTGCCAATGGAAACAGTTTCTACTCCATCAAAACCACTCATAATTTTGAATACCGCTAATAAATCTCCTCTTAACCTTCTCTGCTCTAAGGAGAACAATCCCATAACTTACAACAACAAAATACACAAAATACAGTCACTACACTTTACAGTATATTCTGTGAAGACTTTGAGAAGTCTTAAAGACGTGAGAAGGCGCTAGTTCAAATGCAAGGATTATTATTATTAAAAACAACTTGCATTTATGTAATGCAAGTTTGCATCTTAGAAACACAGGATGGTGCTTAGAACATTAAGAAACCAGCAACTCCACCACAACATACATGTTATATAGTGTGATGCACACTCAGTTACCAGAAAGTTTCCACTTGTAACTGAGTCTTAATTAAGTAATTCCATTAGAACTCACCACTTTTAGATTCCCCTGGGGAGCAGAACTGAGGAAGTGCTCCCAGCTCTGAGATCCCTCATCTCGATTAGCATCAAAATTCACCAATTAAAAAAACTCACAAATGTTCCAACCACACGGTCCAACTACAGATCCAGCTGGAAGGCAAAGCCTGCTCAACACAAGCTGTGTGGTTCCCTCCCTACCTCCCCTCCCAGTCTGTTGTTGTTGTTGTTGTTGGATAACATTTAATACAGTAGTTATTGCTTGTCCAGGTACCTCATCTGTGCAATGTAGATATACTCATGATGGAGAAGTAAGAACCGGAAAAGGAACAGAAGCCCATCAAAGCCACTCCTGGAAGAATTACAATAATCCGCATAATCTTTGTTTTCAATAATTCACCTTATTTTGTTTTGCCCACAAAATACACAGTCACGACACTTTACAATGTATTCGATGAAGCGCTTTGAGACGTCTTGAAGACATGATAAGGGCTATATCTAATGCAAGGATTATTATTATCATCATGCCTCAAACTGCTTAACAAGATTTACTGTGAAGTCTAGTGACTATATTTGTCGGCAAATGCAGCAGGCAATTTGTGCACAACAATGTCCTATGACCAGCCGTGAGCTGAATGACCCAATGACTTGGAGGATTGTTATCCAGGACCCCAGGAGATCTCCTTTCTCTTGTTGAATAGTGCCACAGAATCTCACCTTAACGTCAACCTGAACAGGCAGATAGGACCTTGGTTTAATAATAATAATCCTTGCATTTGATACAGTGCCTTATCACATCTTCAAGACGTCTCAAAACGCTTCACAGGATACACTGTAAAGTGAATTGACTGTATGTTTGTGAGCGAAACACGGCAGCCAATTGCGCACAGCAGAGTCCCCACAAACAGCCGTGGATTGAGTGACCACATCTGAAGCACGGCACCTTCAACAATTCAGTGCCAACCCTAACAATGCACTGGAGTGTTAGCCTTGACGATGAGCTAAAAGTTCCGACATAGGGCTTGAACCTACAACCTTCTGACTGTAGGTTCAAGAGTGTTGATCTGATGCTTCCCACCCATAACACCTAATATTGTAACTGAACTTCTCACTTGGTGATGGTCACTCAGTTCTTAGGGAGGCAAAAAAAAGATTAAAAATGCCCAATTCGGGAAAGAATATACCCTGATAACGCTTTTAAGTTGATGATGTTCACAAACCTTTATATACCTAATAGATTACAAAATGAAAGGACAAGCACAGTGAATAAATTCCAAAAAGAGGGTTGCCAATGAATACTCATTGGTTGACCTCATAAGGAAGGACGAATGGCAGCTTTTCAAGTTTGATTTCTATTTGAATATTGAACGACATCAGCAACAAGCTTTAATGTAAGTCACTGAGCTTGGGTTCCATTGACTAGTTTGTGTGTCTTACACCCAGGGGACAGTGAGCTGGGCTCAGTCAGCAGTCACAGCAGCAACGGGAGGGTTTCTTTTTCTGTAGAAACTGACAACAGGAGTAGATCATTCAGCCCGTCAAGCCTGCACCATAAGGTTATTAGATTATGACTGATCTGCAACATAATACCTTGCAGATCCTATCCTCCCAGTCCTTGCCAAGCTCCATTGGCTTCCAATTACCGAACGGATCAATATCAAGATCCTCTCACTCGTTTTCAAATCCTTTCATGCCCTCACACCTCCCTACCTCTCCGACCTGCTCATCCCCCACTCCACCACCCGCTGCCTCCGCTCAGCTGGCTCCGGACTCCTGTTTGTACGTTGTGCCCTCTGCTCCACCATTGGTGGCTGTGCCTTCAGCCACTATGCTCCGAAACCCAGGAACTCTCTCCCCCAATCCCTCCGCCTTGCCCCCACCCCACCTTCAAATCCCGCCTAAAGAGCTTCCTTTTTGATCATGTTTACGGTTACCTCCCCCCTCCCTCTCCCCCTGGCTCGGGGTCAGACTCCACCACTGTGAAGCGCTTCAGGAAGCTACCCTGTGTGAAGGGCGATGTATAAATGCAAGTGGTTGTTGATGTCTCTGCCCTTTCACCATATCCCTTGATAAAAAGCAGGTAAACCAGCAAAGTAGTCTACCTTCCTTTTAAACATTTCCCTTGACCTGGCATCTACGACCTTTTGGGGTAGTGAATTCTACATTTGGTTGAAAAAATGCTTTCTGCTTTTGCTCTGAATTGGTCTAATTTTAAGATATTGGCCTCTTGTTCTAAATCCTCTTATCAGAAAAAAAGGGTTGCGTGCTATCATCCATGTCAAATCCTTTTAGCATTTTAAACCCCTCAATCTGCTTAGCTCAAGGGAATATAGCACATACAATGGAAATGCAAACTGGACCCAAAAGTCTGCTCTTTAAAACAGTTTTGAGAATAAAATAAAAGCATGAGCACTGATCCAGCCTTTTAGGTCTACTTCTGCTGAGCTCCACTGAAGATAAATACTGAAAAATCCACAAACAACTAATTGTATTCCAAATAATTCACATGCTTTTAACTATGTGAACCTGCTCTGTATATTATTCCAAACGTTTATTACCCTGATCAACGTATTTTCTTGATACCAGTTCTGACTTACTCTTCACCAATTTCTATTTATGTCCTCTAGTCCTGCTGTCTTTGCTTTGAAGCAGTCGTCTGAAGCAATATTTTATGCTCTTTGCTACATTATGTACTTTGAAAAATCTCCTTTTCTTGCTTTCTCTCTCAACTGAATTATTTGAAGGCAAAACC